CCCCAAAACCCCAAAACCCCAAAACCCCAAAACCCCAAAACCCCAACAAGGAAATAAGAGATTTTGTGGTTCAATATGGCGTATTAGCAGGGTTCTTCAACCTACTTAACTGAGTCCCTCATGGCCTTATGATTTATGAAGTTGATAACATAATTCAGGATGACTGCTATTGGTGCCATGCACAGGTGGAATAAGAAATTATCCCTATCTCATGACCCAATAGATGTTGGATTTATGAATTCGAATAGCATCTCAGTGGTGACGATGTAGTCTCCCCTTCCCATTCCTGAGAGTAGAATATCAGCGCATTTTTCAGGGGCCAGGAAGTCTGCTGAACCCTCGATCTTCTTGGTGACCTCAGGTTTGTACTTATTCTCCTCTTCATATCCAGGAGAGAGAATGGAGCCTGGCAAGAAGAGATGAACGCCAACGTTATGAGGCGCCATCTCGATTCTTACAATATCAGCAAGGGCCTTGATAGCACTCTTTGTTGGTGAGTAAGGAGAGTATCCTACACATGTTAAGACACCAAGTATAGAGGAGGTATAAACTATTGTTCCTGAATCTCCTAACTTTGAGCCTTTGTTATAGCTATTTCTCTCAGCCATTCTCTTAGCTACCGGTTGCGACATCTTCACATATCCAAGATAATTCGTGTTAATCTGTCTCTCAAAGAAGGTTTGGTCAGCTTCCAAAAACATATTGGGGAGAGAGAACCCTGCTGTGCAAAACAGATATTGGATATGCCCAAATTCTCCTTCAGCTTTGTCAAGCAATTTTTCAACTTCATTAACATCAGGATTGCTACAATCAAATGTGAAATACTGAACTCTGCCGTCACCCTTCTTAGAGATAGTCTCTGCAGCTTTCTTTAGCTTATCTTCGTTCCTAGCGATAATGGTGACTTTGGCACCCTTTCTGAACAACTTAGTAGCGATGGAAAGACCCAAGCCAGTGCTGCCACCAGTGATGAACACGTGCTTGCCCTTATATTTTAGGCCTGAGCGCTTGAACAGATATCTGTAAATTGTATACAACAGAGCTGCGCCGTACAGCACTCCACCAGTAAGAAGAGCCCCTAGGAAAGGGTGCATTTTCAAGCTAAGCAACATTACTTTTCAAATATTTTATACAAAATAGGGGTTTTGGGGTTTTGGGGTTTTGGGGTTTTGGGGTTTTGGGGTTTTGGGG